GTCGAAGGAGGGGGGAGGCGACAAGAGCGGCGTCGGCAAGGCGAAGAAGAAGAAGAAGGCGAAGAGCGTGGAGACGTACAAGATCTACATCTTCAAGGTCCTGAAGCAGGTCCACCCGGACATCGGGATCTCGAGCAAGGCGATGGGGATCATGAACTCGTTCATCAACGACATCTTCGAGAAGCTGGCCCAGGAGGCCTCCCGCCTGGCCCGCTACAACAAGAAGCCCACCATCACCTCCCACGAGATCCAGACCTCCGTCCGCCTCGTCCCCCCGGCAAGCTCGCCAAGCACGCCGTCTTCGAGGGCACCAAGGCCGTCACCAAGTTCACCAGCTCCTAGGCCTAGCGCCTCGCCGGGCTACGGCCTAGGGGATCTAGGGTTTTCCTCTTTCGAGCAATATTTTTTCTTGTTTTTTTTTGTTGCTGTTTAGTTGTTATCTCTAGTGTAATTACTTCCTTTTATGCCGTGAATGGAAAGAAAGCGCACTTTTTTTCTTTCGATGTCTGATTAGTGACTGATTTCTGTGGATTAGAAGTAATTTATTGTGTTGGTTTTTGTTCAAAATCGAAGGACGTGACTTGGATGTTTTGTTTGTAGACTAATTGGTTACGGCCTCTACTTACATCTGTTCAGCTCTGGCCTGTAATCGCTCTCATCCTTTTCTCCTCTCTTGTTTCTCTCTGAATGGTTCAATCTTTAGAAGAATCTAATTTGTGCCAATGTGATTGTGATGTTTAAAAGCAATATTTTCCTTTATATTTTGTTGAGTTCTCAGTTTTTGAGGTTATTCGTTTGCTAGAATCTCTAGGTTAGTATTTTTTTGTAAAAATGTGTTCTGATGAATCCTAAACGATGAGAAGAAGAATTGCATCTTGATGTGGCGATTGGACTGTTCTTCATCCAAGAACCATGTAAAAGATGCTCACATCTTTAGATTTAAAATTTTTGATATTGATGATGAATATTAGCAAGATTTGGTTCTTACTGATGCTTAAGTTTTTTTAATTATTTTTTTATTTTTATTTAATAATAGGAGGGGGACCTTGGAACTACTTCCTTGGGGATTCTGTACACTTCATTTGCATTTTCCTTGGCGATGGCTCCAGTTGTGCGGGGGTTTGAAACAAAAAGAGCTCTGGTTCTCATGACTACGGGATATTTGTTGTTCATGGCTTCAAACTTGAAGCCATCATGGTGAGTTTTTCATTTGCCCTCATATGGCTTGTGCTAGATGTCATACTTGCGGTAATGCTGGCTCTGCTAATGTTATGCAGAATTTAGTTGTTCTCTGTAACGGTTTGTAATAGGTTCTGATTGTTCTACATATTGAAGGTGCGACCGGTTTAGTAGTCCTTTACTCCCATTTGTGAGGGCAAAATGTGTGATTTGCTCACGTGTTTTATATTCTTTAGGAAAATTATGCAAACAATAAATAGCAGTAGTGGAATTATTTTCATAATCTCAGTCGTCATGATAACCACTCTCAGTTTCTTTGTTGTTACAAGGGTTGTCAGCACTTATGGTCTCACTCTTGTGTGCTGGGAGGTTTTCTTCCATGGGTGGTCATTTCACTTTCTTGATGGTTGAACACTCTTGAGCTTGACGTAATTTGTAAACCTGGTAACTTAGGTAGCCTATCAATTTGACGTAATTTGTTTCCTATATTATAGAGACTTTTTAGTGTAGGATTTTTGTGACAACTATTTACTCTGCTGGTTGGTTTTCCCATCGATAACATATTTGTCCATATGAATGTTTTTCAGGTATCAATCATCAGCTTTCTTTTGTCACTTGCATCCTCTTGTGCTGACCCAGAGATGCCTTCTTTTACAAAAGACACTGATTGTGTAGTGATATTGATTTAGTTTTTCCTACTATAAACATCACAGGACGAATCTTCGAAAACTGTTGGAGTTGTTGATAAAATCAATATTTTAATGTATACTTGAATTCCTAACTTGGATTTACTGTGAGCTTGAATATGCAGTTTCTGGTTGAGATACACTATCAAATTACAACTTGCAAGCTTTTGAAGATGTAAGCCTCTGAAACATACTGACATCCTACGTTTCTGATAATCAATTATTTACTCTCCATTTATGCTATTTAGCAATATTACTTCTCCTGTTGTTTTACATTATCGTAAGCCTTTTCCCTGGTTATTTTATTTCCTTTGGTTTTATGTTTGAAATAGACTAGTAATTTGTTTTGGCTCTTCTAACTTTTCTTAAGAATAGTTGTTTAATATATCTCATTTTGTTAAGTGTAGCTTTTATATTTGTTTTGGCTCTTCTAACTTTTCTATAGTCTGCATGATAATGGAGTGTTTCTGATATAGTTTTTGTTCTTTTTCATATTTACTGTGAGCTTGAATATGCAGTTTCTGGTTGAGATACACTATCAAATTACAATTGCTATTCATCCTCGGCACAAATGTCATCGGTTGTCTACCATTGATGCTCTTATCCAAACATACTATGAGCTCTTATCAAATGCAATCTGACAATGAAGACAATATATCCATGCATTCGGTAAAATAATTTTTAGCTTACTCATTTACTTTCATTACTCATATTAGTTACCTTATATAGTTAAGTCGAGTTCGTCTATTTTCATTGATTGATAGAGTAAAAATAAGAATCATATCAAGTGCAAGATCTTCAATTGGACCGGAAAAGATGAAATTGTTGCTGAAGGTCGTTGGGTTTCCAATGATTCAAAAATGCTTGTTAATGATGTTCCTCTCGGACCTAAAACCATGATTGTTTGGGTTGATGTCCCGACAAGTCCTGAAGCTTTTTTATGGAGACCCACGCCTGACATGACATCTATTGAAGATGCTAAAGTAGCGTGGCCTGCTGACAAGGTTGTATTGGAAAATATCTCAATTAACAATATGGAATCTCCAAACATAACATCTCCTTTGGTAATCTTTTTTGTTGATACTATCATTATTTTGATATTTGATTGTACTAGTTTCTTTTCTATAATTGATATCACTGTTTTTGTATTGTTGCTGGAGTGTGAACAACTCAAAGGAAAAGTGCAACTTGTTAGATATTGGTGGCGCGGGAAAGATAGTTACTGAAGGACATTGGTCTTCAAGTGATCTGAACCAGCTTGTTCACTTTGTTCCTTTAGGTCCTAATGCTATGCGTGTTTGGGTTGATATCCCTAGGATCCCTAGTGCATCTCTTTGGAGGCCAACATCTGAGTTAGAATGCATTGAAGATGTCATTGGTACGACAGTAGCTTGGCCATCAGACAAAGTTGTTATGCTTTGAAAAGCTGGTAAGTTATACATAATTGGTGAATACTTTAAATGCTGTTGTGGTCTAGAAAGTACCAAAACTTCCTCATGCATGACTTTATATTACATACTGCTCTTGATGTGGAATTATTGATAATTGTTTGTTATAGTTCCCCCTAATTAAAGAAAACTAATGGGACTGTTGTTTATATTTTGATTGTTGATTTATGTTTTTAGTTCAGATCTTCATGGCTCTAGGATTTATAATTATTGGTGCTGCTGTTTTCTGTTTTGTCCATATATTCATGGCTCTAGGATCTCATTATTGGTGGTGTTAATTTCTGTTTTTGCAGCAGTACTAGTACTCAATTGCTGAAGATGATGAGTCTCCCAAGTCATATGTAATGCAGCAAAGTTAGTTTTTGTTGTTCTGTGTACTATGGTTAATTTCTTGTACTCCATGTTGGATTATCCAAAGACTAGTATTTGTTTTTTGGCACATTTGTGTTGACTCTTCTTGTATGCTACAACTTGGTTATGTATCAGTTTGAACCTTTAAATAAAATATTTGCTTTTATGGTTGTCACAATTGAAAGTTATTTCTAGTTCAACCTCAAAGGTTTATAAGCACAACTGAAATGCTATAAGAAGTGGAAACAATTACTGAAATGCTATTAAAAGAAGAAAGACAATATTCGTTGAAACGCTATTGTGGTAACTCAAACGCTATCAAATGTAAGACAATAGCAACGTTGAAATGCTATGAATAAAAACTAACTAATAGCGTTTTTCAACCGCTATGAAAGATATTTGTCATAGCAATATAGAAACGCTATTGAATACTCTTTTATAGCTATATAAAAACGCTATGGTTGGAAACTTTTTGATAGCGTTTGGGGAAACGCTATGTAAAGCCACAGACCTACTATAGCGGGTTCTGACACAGCGTTGATTAAAACGCTATGAAATAATACCATAGCGTTTTTCGGCCGCTATGGTAGATTTCAGGTGTTGTAGTGCATTTTGAATTTTGTTATTTCCACATCTTTTATGTAATTTTCTTAATGAATTTTATAATTTATGAACTTTATTGATATTTACTTTTATTTGTAATTTTTTTGTCATTTCTTCCTGAAGAAGAAATGGATGCCAAATATTTGGGATTAAACAATGATGATGATAACATTTGTCTCATTGATAGTGCTACTACACACACTATACTTAAAAACATAAAGTATTTTTCTCATTTGAAAATCAAAGAAACAAATGTTAATACAATAAGTGGTAGTGCTAAATTGATTGATGGCTCCGGAAGAGTCACTGTATTTCTCCCCAAAGGAACTAAAATTGTCATAAATAATGCACTATTCTCGATAAAATCTCGAAGAAATTTGCTAAGTTTTAAATATATCCGCCAAAATGGATATCATATTGAGATAATGAATGAGACAAATGGTGAATACTTATTGATTATAAATACCATTTCTGAAAAGAAATGTGTATTAGAAAAGTTATCTTCTCTATCTTCTGGTTTATATTATACAAAAATAAGTACAACTGAAATTTATCACCTTATAGACCAGAAGTGTACGAATCCCAATAATTTTATGATTTGGCATGATCGCCTTGGACATCCTAGTTCTATAATGATAAGATGAATAATTGCAAATTCACATGATCATTCATTGAAAAATAAAAAAATACTAAATTCTAATGAATTCTCATGTGTTGCTTGCTCCCAAAGGATGTTAATTATTAGACCATCACCAACGAAAGTGGGGACTGAATCCCCTGCATTTCTAAAACGAATTCATGGTGATATATATGGGCTTGTCGATCCACCATGTGGACCATTTAGATATTTTATGGTGCTAATTGATGCATGAACAAGATGTTCACATGTATGTTTATTATCTAGTCACAACCTGACGTTGCGAGATTGCTTGCTTAGATAACTAAATTACGAGCATAATTTCCTGATTATCCCATTAAGAAAATTCATTTAGATAATGCTGGTAAATATTCATCACATGTGTAAGGATTGTAAAATTTTGATATTAGTTAAAATAATTTTTTGGTATTTTAAAATATTTAATTATTATTTTTAAAAGAGTATTTGTATTTTTTTTTGATTTTCTAGAATTTTCTATGATTTAAAATCCAAGTTTATATTTATTTAAATGGTATTGATATTTTATAACTTAGTTTAATGTAGTAAAAATTTATAGAATTCATCTGTTATGTTTTTTATACCATTACATATTATTTTACATAATATGTTGTATTATTATTATTTATTACATATTATTTCATATAATACGTTGTATTATTAATTACATATTATTTGTATAATTTATTGTATTATTTTTACTATTACATATTATCTGTCGTATTAGTATAACCGGTATATTTTACTATATGGATAATTATCCCATATTTATTTGATTCTAAATATAAGAAATTATATTTTTTTATTAATTATTCTTATTTAATTGTGTAATTTTTTGTAGTATTTCTATAGTTGTGTATAATCGGTTGTAATACTCCAACTGGTACGTTTTGATGTGTAGATAATTTTCACGTAATTAATTAATTTTTTCATGATTTTTATTATTTTTAATTATTTTTCAAAATTCTAA